AATCGGCCGAAAGTTACATACACTTTACGTATGTTCATTTTGTACTAGCAACTATAATTATTAATCAGTTACTTTTCGTGGTAATATATTAATACTATTTAACTCTTGATAGTTCTGCGACAGTTTTAAATATGCGTCATATCGGTCAGCAGTCAGTAGAACTTAAAACAATAACATATTTAAATGATAACAGCACGGTTTATTATCGGTGAGCCGGGTGAGGGGGTGACGTGCGACTCGTGTCCGCCCTTGCACATCAAAACAATCCCCAAGGCTGCTTTCACTAACCGTGTAATATTAACGCGTCAATTTTACATATTTATTCTTTATTCGTCAAACGCAATCGCATATATAAAATAAAATTATTAAATAAATGTAAAACAGTTGCTTTTCATAGTAATATATTATGTGCGGTGCGGTGTTGTGAGAGAGACAGCGAAAGCTAGACGTAGACGATTCGAGAATCAACCGAAGGATGCACTGTCCCCCTCACATCACCCCTCCGCGTGCAGTCCAAATGCCCAATGACGACCGAATGGCATTGATCCGTGCACGATGCAGTGTGGTAAGGGGGACAGCGAAAGCTAGAAGCAAATGATTCGAAAATCAACCGAAAGTTGCACTGCCCCCCCCCCCCCCCCTCCGCGTGCAGTCAAAATCATAACAGTTGAATGGTTTAAATATCATACCAGTCAGCATTCGGAAGTTTTTAAAATAATTTTATTTAAAACATGTATTTCAAATATATATATGGAGGGGCGAGTGGAGGAGGTCCGGTGGGTCGAAGATGGTAAAGTAGTGAGTGGAAGGTGAGAGAGGATGTCAAAAAGTTGTAATAACGAAAAAAGTGAAAATACGGCGAAAGAGAGGAGCGGCGGGGGTGGGTGGTGGTGTCAGGGGAAGGGGCGGAGGCAGGATGTCCGGTGGACCGAAGATGGTGGTGTTGCGAGTGAAAGGTGAGAGAGAATGTTAATAAGTTGTAAAACGAAAAAGAGTGAATTACAGCGGAAGAGAGGGGTGGCGGGGGTTGGTGGTGGTGGAGAGGGGGAGGCAAGTAGTGGAGGTCCGGTGGGCCGATGATGGTGAAGGTGCGAGTGAAAGGTGAGAGAGGAAGTCAAAAAGTTGTAATAACGAAAAAGAGTGAATTACAGCGGAAGATAGGGGCGGCGGGGGTTGGTGGTGGTGGAGGGGGGGAGGCAAGTGGTGGAGGTCCGGTGGGCCGATGATGGTGAAGGTGCGAGTGAAAGGTGAGAGAGGAAGTCAAAAAGTTGTAAAACGAAAAAGAGTGAATTACAGCGGAAGAGAGGGGTGGCGGGGGTTGTTGGTGGTGGAGGGGGGGAGGCAAGTGGTGGAGGTCCGGTGGGCCGATGATGGTGAAGGTGCGAGTGAAAGGTGAGAGAGGAAGTCAAAAAGTTGTAATAACGAAAAAGAGTGAATTACAGTGGAAGAGAGGGGTGGCGGGGGTTGTTGGTGGGGGAGGGGGGGAGGCAAGTGGTGGAGGTCCGGTGGGCCGATGATGGTGAAGGTGCGAGTGAAAGGTGAGAGAGGAAGTCAAAAAGTTGTAATAACGAAAAAGAGTGAATTACAGTGGAAGAGAGGGGTGGCGGGGGTTGGTGGTGGTGGAGAGGGGGAGGCAAGTAGTGGAGGTCCGGTGGGCCGATGATGGTGAAGGTGCGAGTGAAAGGTGAGAGAGGAAGTCAAAAAGTTGTAATAACGAAAAAGAGTGAATTACAGCGGAAGAGAGGGGTGGCGGGGGTTGGTGGTGGTGGAGGGGGGGAGGCAAGTGGTGGAGGTCCGGTGGGCCGATGATGGTGAAGGTGCGAGTGAAAGGTGAGAGAGGAAGTCAAAAAGTTGTAAAACGAAAAAGAGTGAATTACAGCGGAAGAGAGGGGTGGCGGGGGTTGGTGGTGGTGGAGGGGGGGAGGCAAGTGGTGGAGGTCCGGTGGGCCGATGATGGTGAAGGTGCGAGTGAAAGGTGAGAGAGGAAGTCAAAAAGTTGTAATAACGAAAAAGAGTGAATTACAGCGGAAGAGAGGGGTGGCGGGGGTTGGTGGTGGTGGAGGGGGGGAGGCAAGTGGTGGAGGTCCGGTGGGCCGATGATGGTGAAGGTGCGAGTGAAAGGTGAGAGAGGAAGTCAAAAAGTTGTAATAACGAAAAAGAGTGAATTACAGTGGAAGAGAGGGGTGGCGGGGGTTGTTGGTGGGGGGAGGGGGAGGAGCGAGTGGAGGAGGTCCGGTGGGCCAAAGATGGTGGAGGTGCGAGTGAAAGGTGAGAGAGGATGTTGAAAAGTTTAAAAATGCGGACAGAGAAGAAGAAGAAGAAGAAGAAGAAGAAGGAGAAGGAGACGTTTCTTAATTTTTCATTAAAATCACCACTTTTTGACCGCTTATATCTCCAGAACGGCTTGACCGATTTAAAATTTTTTTGGCTCAAATTACTCGTGGCGATGCCGCCTTTCAGGACATATGACGTTCGATTCAAAATTTTTTATATTTTAATAGTTATGCACCTCCCAAAAATGGACTTTGGTGGCTCGGGATAAGAGACTTGTAGCGTTCACAGTTTTTTTGAACATGGCCGGAGACGCTACCGCGTCTCCTGATAAAAGCCCGTAAGAAGATTCAGGTATACATACCTAGTGGATCCGTAGCTACTGCTGCTAACACCAATACCGAGAAAAAGTCGAAGTTTCAATATTATGAACTTATGAGATTCCTGGACGATTCATTGCAGACACGGCTGTAAGTTTTCTCTTCAATAATTACATGTACATATTGTTCGACTATAATTGCGCAGTTTGTAACCCATTCATTAATAAATTTTAGGACAGTGAGTTCGTTAACAGATGTTGATGCTGAAAGTGGAGTAGTCACTTCATTTAATATAAAAAACAAGCGATGCGAAGGTAATGCCGTAACTGGGCCTTCGACAATGCATCAGATTTCAGCTATTAACAATTCTCCACAGACTTCCCCATATGTTTCTTCGCGGACGCCGACACCCACAAATATTTCTCCACAGATACTCAATTCTATCAATGTTCTTTCACAAACCTCGACACCTACAAATCATTTACCATCAACTGAAAGCAGAGTCCAGAGTTGGGTATGTATTTAAAATACTTTTATTTGAAAATGATAATTGTAAGACAATTGTATCGTGTATTTTGTATTTGAACGGCGTACATAAAAATATTTTGCATTTTATATTTTATGGAAGTATATAAAAGTATTTTATATTTTGTATTTCAGTATTATTAATGAAAGATTGAAAGTATTTTGTATTTTGTATTTTAAATACTAAGATATTGAAGATTGTTGTTATTTAAATTACGAAGTACATAGAGCTTTCAATCTTTCAATTTTAAATACAAAATATGTAATACTTTCATGTACATCGCTGAAATATAAAATATAAAATCTACTTTTATTCCGAAAACTGTGTTTTAAATAAAAGTATTTTAAATACATGCCCAACTCTGAAGCAGACTACCCACACAAAGACATGGTTCAAAACGGAAACGTTTGTTTTTTTATATTTTCATTTATCAAAGTTTCTTTTAATTATCACACAGGAATGAAATTTTAATTTCTTTGTAGAATCATCACAAAATGATGCTTTTCAAACAGCTTTGATAGAAGCTCTGAAAGAGCCATCAACGCAAGAGATTGATCCACTGGACGGATTTTTTATCCGCTTGGGAGAAGGTATGCGAAAACTGCCATACCGAGATAGAGCACGATTAGAAATACAATTTTTAACATTACTTTTTGAAATGGAAAATAGTTGCTTCAATCGAGATTCCGACAAATCAACGTAATCATCATTGAGAAGGAAACCAATTAGCCTGTTCAAAAGGTAATGCTATTTTAATGATCAAATGACGAAAGATCAAAATTAAATATTTAATAGGTTGCGTTTCATAGCATCATTCGAATCGACATTTTTAAATGTTTTTTATTCTATAAGAAGAGTGTGTTAAAAAATTCCGTCCAATGTATAAGCGTTATAATACTATAATTTTTTTGTCAATCAAAATGACTTTTTCGTAAATCTCTTAATATTTTATTTTATCACAAAAAAAATAACTGTAACAAGACTTTAATGCAAAAACATTTCTTCTGTAGACTTTGCAGACATGATAGTTGTTTGTAGGAATGGCGACTATTACTTTTTAACTCTTACTTTCTATAATAATATTGCAATTTTTTTACGGAAACGATAAAAGCTAAGGTTAGGAAAAAATTATTTTGAAAAGTAATTTGTTACCTTCACGCGTTATTTATTAAAAACGTGACTCATTGTTTGTAACGCGTCGACTCGTTATAAATCGTTACTTGTTATAAGTAAAGAGTTATTTTTTTGTGTATAATACTATAACTATCATGCTTGATACTTACTTTTCATTCTTAATTATATATTATGTTATCATACGTATAGAGGGAATATAATTTTATGATGATATTTTCTGTTGCTTTCCATTTTTCTAAATTAAACTTCAGTTTTATTTTTTATTTTATATGTTATATAACCAAATATGTTTATTTTTTATTCTAAAGAAAGTAACTTTTGCGAAACTTTATAAATATATTGTACAGTAATGGCTTCTGTACACTGGACGCGAAAACGCTTGTCGCTACCGCGTCACATTTTACTGCGTGGTTAGCGTTTCTGCATCCAGTGTGCAGGAGCAGGCCCGGATTAAAGAGTTGAAGGCCCCGGGGCTATTTAACTTTAGGGGACCTGTTTGTTCGTGGAATGGACTGTATAAATGAGATGATTAAAACTAATATTCTTAATCAACTTTTCGCTATATTTGGCTCAAAAATGAAAATATTCGGTTACATTCGTTAACTCGTGTGACTCGAGATGCGCTTGCGTGGTAGAAAAGAAAGCAACTGAAATTTGGCGCTGTAGTCACTAGGCAAGTCTGCCAATACAAAATGGAAACTAAATGAAAATACGCTAGAATACTGAACATTCCGCCCCCCTTGAACTATCTAGTCCAATTGCTTTGAATGAGTAGTATCAATAGAAAATATAGCTAAAGATCTTACATTGCGTTTGTACACACCTGTAATTGTTTTTATCGTAACGACACGAATGATGTTATCCTTTCCAGGATGAGTCTCAAGTACTCTGCCCATAGGCCAATTCAAGGGAGGTGAATTGTCTTCTTTGATTAAAACTAGATCGCCGACTGCGATAGTACGCGGAATTTGTGATTTCCACTTTGAGCGTTGATTTAACTTATTTAAATATTCTTTGTGCCAACGGTTCCAGAAATCACGCTTTAATTTTTGAATATGTTGCCATGCTGATAATCGATTAGTTGGAATATGTGTAAAATCTGACTCTGGTACGGAAAGTAAGGAATCGCCAATCAAGAAGTGACTGGGAGTCAGTGCAATCAAATCTTCGGGATTGTGTGAAATTGGAGTTAACGGACGGGAGTTTAAAATCCCTTCAATTTCTATGACTAATGTATTGAATTGCTCAAAAGTAAACAAAGTGTTTTTAGCTATTCGAACTAGGTGAAACTTAAACGACTTCACCGCCGCCTCCCATATTCCCCCAAAATGTGGAGAACGTGGTGGGATGAACTTCCAGGAAACTTCTTGATTGCTTAACCATTTTGAAATATCTTGATTAAATGATTCGGATTTGATGAAATCATACAATTCTCGCAAATGATTGCTTGCTCCCACAAAATTTGTGGCATTGTCGGACAATAAAAGATGTGATTTTTCTCTGTGACAAAAAAATCTCTTCAAAGATGCACAGAAAGCTTCGATTGTTAAATCACTCACCACTTCTAAGTGGATTGCCTTTGATGCTAAGCATATGAAAACTGCTACATAAATTTTGACTTTGTTTCGATTGTAAAGCTTTCTCTCTTTAATAAAGAAGGGACCACAGAAATCTATCCCGACATTGACAAAGGATCGTGAACTCTGGAATCTTTCTCTGGGTAAATCACCCATCTGATATGTTGTGAACTGAGGCCGCATTCTAAAACATATTGTGCATTCGTGTAGAATTTTACGAATTTTACTTCTGCCATTAATAATCCAATATTTCTGCCGTAAAGCATATAAGGTAGCTTGTGGACCTGCGTGACCTAACAATTTGTGAGTACTTCGTATTAACATGCTAGTGATTACGTGTTTTTCCGGCAAAATGATGGGGTGTTTTTGATTATAAGTTAAGGTTGAATGTTTCAAACGACCCCCAACTCGCAAAATGTGATCGGAATCTAGAAAGGGATTTAACGACAGAAGCTTGTTGTGTTTGTTACAAGAATTTCCTTGACTTAAGTCCTTGATCTCGCTTGTACAGGTTTCTCGCTGAACAATCCTAATTATGCTATGCATTGCATGTTGCAGCTCAGAAGTTGATAATTCTCCGTTTGTCTTATTCTTAGATTGTGAATTATGAATAAATCGATAGCACCAAGCTACTACGCGTTGCAATGTGTTGACGGTTGAAAACCGATGCAAGACACTCCAGGTATCGTTGTTGTTGCTGCTGATGAAAGTTCGTAGTTCTGGTACTTCTGATGTGCATTTTTCTTGATTTGGCCAGGTTTCCTCTTCTTGGCCAAGCCATGGTGGACCATGCTTCCATAAATGTGATTCCATGAGTTGCTTAGGCATTAATCCTCTCGAAATAATGTCAGCAGGGTTGTCCTTGGAAGGAACATGTCTCCATTCACAATGCTTAGTATGCTGCTGAATTTCTGTGATGCGATTTGCTACAAAGGTTTTGAGGCGATGTGGCGGCGTCCGAATCCATTGTAAGACTATTGTGGAATCTGATGATTCTTTGAAGTGGCAGCCCGAGAGCGTCACGCACAACAGTGAGCAATCGTGATAACAGTAACGCTGCACACAACTCAAGACGTGGAAGTGAGATCCTCTTTAAGGGAGCTACTCTGCACTTTGAACACACTAGATTGATCAAACGAGAACCTTCTTCGTTTGTTGATCGAAGAAAGATGCATGCTCCATACGCCACCTCGCTCGCATCAGCGAAAGCATGTAATTGAATGTCGATGGGATCAGAAATACAGATTTGCCGAGGGAAGGCAAGTTGATTGATGATTGGTAGTTCATCTCGAAACTGTTTCCATTGTGACAATATGTGATCAGGTACTGTGTCATCCCAGCCAAGATGTAGTTTCCACAAGGTCTGAAGAAGTATCTTTGCTGCCACTATGATGGGACTTACTAAACCAAGTGGATCGTAGAGAGTTGCTGTATGGGACAGTATGATGCGTTTTATGATTTTTGATGGCTCTGGAGTGAGGTTAATTTGATACACCAATAGATCCTGTTGCGGAATCCAACCGATGCCTAAAGTTTTTTGAATCTCCGTCAAATTCAATAACAGATGTGGATCGTTATTCTGATGAGTGAATGATTGCATAAATTGCGGAACGTTTGATGCCCACTTTCGAAGAACTAGGCCTCCACTTTCAAGCAGTTGTATAATTTCTTCTTTGAGTTTTAAGGCTTGTTCTAAAGATTGAGCTCCTGACAGTAAATCATCGACATACATGTCTCGACTGATAACTTCTGCGCCTCCTGGAAAACGATGTTGTTCTTCTTTCGCTAATTGCAAGAGAGCACGGGTTGCTAGAAATGGCGCTGACGAAGTGCCATAAGTAACGGTGTTGAGCTCAAAAGTACGTAATGTTCATCCTGATTGTTTCGCCACAGTATTCTTTGAAAGGGACGATCCTCTTTGTTGATCAAAAATTGTCTGTACATCTGTTGCACATCTGCTGTAAAAACCACCTTGTGAGTTCTGAATCGCATAATGATGTCAAAAAGTTCATTCTGGACGACAGGTCCTGTTAACAATGTATCGTTCAATGACAGGCCTGTAGTAGTCTTCGCTGAAGCATCGAAAACCACCCGTAGTTTTGTAGTGAGACTGCTACTCTTTAGAACTACGTGATGTGGAATATAGTAGCAGCCATTGTTATCTGCTTGACTCACCTCAGTCATGTGATTCAGCGACTCGTAATCTTGAAGAAACTCACGATAAGCTTCATACAAATGAGGATCCGCGATTAGTCTTTTCTCTAAACTGTAGAATCTCCTTGTTGCGTTGTTGAAAGAATCACCCAGTGAATTGTTCTCTGAATTGAACGGAAGTCCCACGGAAATGCGACCGTTTTCCTCTCTCTTGAAAGTGTTCATGAAATGTGCTTCACATTGCTCTTCTTCAGGTGATAATAACTTCTTCGCTGGCAGCTCTTCAGTTTCCTAAAAACGCTGTACCATATTGTCTAGGCTATCTCGTGAGAAATGACAAAGTAAACTATGATTAGAATTCGCAACGCACGCCTTGCCTGCTACAACCCAACCTAATTGCGTATTTTGTAAGATCATGGGTTGAGATTTTAATTTGACTTGACCTACACATAACAACTGATAAAAATGTTCCGCTCCTATTAATATATCTACCGGAGCAGGCTTATAGAATTCAGGATCGGCAAATTGTACATTGTCTGGTATTCCGAGCTTAGAATGATCAATCGTTTGTGACGGCAACCATGTGGTTATGTTTGAAATGACTAATAGCCGTAAATCAAGGGAGAATGCATTGCTTCTTGATCTTATGATAGTGTTAGTTAAATGTTTAATGTGTGAAAGTGAATTGCCTATGCCTTGAATTGGAATATTGATAGATCTCTTTGGAAGCTTTAACTTATCACACAACTAACTCGAAATGAAATTCGACTGTGAACCAGTGTCCAACATAGCTTTGCAAGTATGAAAATTTCCTTCAGAATCTTTGATATCTATCATTGCTGTCGATAGAATGACTTGCGAGGAACCTTTGAATCTAGAACTTAAAATTTGCGAAGTTGTATGTGATTGTTGTACTGTTTGCTCTGATGAGTTCTGATTTACATTATCTTTTATGTCTGTGTCATTAGTCTGTGTCTTTGATGGATGCAATAAAGTGTTGTGTCTTTTATTGCATTTCTTACAATTGCCAGCGTTGCAAGAACTGATTTGATGATTTGACCTAAGACAGTTGAAACAAAGATCAGCCTTCTTGACTACATCTACTCTTTTGCTGTGATCTAATTGTTTGAAGCTATCACAAAATACAATGTTATGATTTTTGCTACAGATACAACACTTTGATTGCGATTGTGCTTCCAACAAAACTTGACGAGTTTTATTGGTTCCCTTGCTACTATTAGACGTTTCGCTTGCGACTGCCTGCAACACATGACACTTGTTACGTAAAAATTTCCATAAGTCATTGATATTTGGCAATTCTGTGCCATCCAAAGATTTTTCCCACTCTCGATATGTGACTTTATCTAATTTAGAAGTGATCAAGTGCAGAAGCAATCCATTCCATTGATCTGTCGGCTGCCCTAACGCCTTTAAAGACTGAATGTGTTTTTGTGCTGTATCAATCAATGAGTTTAAACTTGACGTGGTTTCCTTTGTGACTGCGGATAACTCAAACAACGCTCTAACATGATTCTGAATGATGATTCTTTTGTTGTTGAATCGCTCTGATAACAACCTCCATGCTATTTCGTAGTTCTCATCTGTGGAAGCGAGTGAATGTATTATTTGTGCTGCACTATCTAATAAACAAGACTTTAAATAATTGAATTTCTGCACTGGCTGAATTTTTGAATTGTTATGCACTAATGCCCTAAAGTTATCTTCAAAACTAAGCCAGTCTTCATACTTTCAATCGAACTTTGGTAAAGTAATGGATGGCAGTTTAATGTTTGATCCGACCTGTGCAGAATTCATTGACATATTTGATGTGGTACGCGCAATTGAATCGATTACATTGTTCGGAACTGAATTTCTTAGATGATTGTCTAACAATGATTGAACTCTAGCAAGATATTCAAAATAATGTTCTTCAAATATTTGTTTGGATGCTTCGTCATCTGTGTCTTCCATTATTTCTATTTCTAAATGAATTTTCTCAAAATCTGTTAATAATGATTTTGCTCTTTCTAGATGCATTTTGAGAGCCTCTGCGTCAATATCTGCATTGTAATTATCTAAGAAATTCTTGAATCTCGTTAGCGCAGACTTAACTGCACCACGGCGCTTTTTCAAAGTGTTCAGATCTTCTGGCATTGTGATTTGACTTGCGTGATTACTGGAATATTACTAGTTCGTTGGACTTACCAAAGATGCTGTGATACTCGCTATGATTGTCTATTTCTCGTGAATGCATGTTATTGCTAACCTACAAATGAGTTGATTTCCTTTCCACTACTCTAATTGCGATATTTCGGTGGGCGATCACACCTCGAGCATTGATTCTTGCAAGCAAATTGTGTCGAGCAGATACAACGGACAAGTAAACCCTAACCTCTCGATCAATGTCGAAAGATCCGTGCTCGTAGGACCAAAATGTTTGTTCATGGAGTGGACTGTATAAATGAGATGATTAAAACTAATATTCTTAATCAACTTTTCGCTATATTTGGCTCAAAAATGAAAATATTCGGTTACATTCGTTAACTCGTGTGACTTGAGATGCGCTCGCGTGGTAGAAGAGAAAGCAACTGAAATTTGGCGCTGTAGTTGCGACCGGCATGGATGCATGCTCGTCCGCCCCTCGGATCCCTTTACTTGCCCTCGAGGGGCATTGGTATTCAGCGCGTAGCCGCATAATGGCAGTATTATTATTTTGTTAATTAGTATTATTATTATTATTATTAGTATGAATAGCGTTAGGGGCCCGTTGGCCATAATTGTATTTAGCCGTATGATGGCATTTGGCGTAAAGTCAGATCAACTGCGCATAAGGCAGATTTTGTTTCTAGATTAATCGCAAAATGGCGAAAGGCCACGCGCCTTATCTTTTGCCAGCAAGGCATTTCCTTTACTATTCAACCGTCGATAAAGACGAGATCGATATTTGTTTTTTTTTGTTTAGGGTACAAGTTACCCACCAGAAAAGTTTAACAAACTATACCAAGATTCACTTGGTATAGTCGCGCTAGCAGCAAGACTGATGACATGCCATTATGCATAACACCGTAAGCGTTTGAGAGTTAGTTGGATAAGATGAAGTACGATGAATGTTCAAAGAATTGAAGTAGAGGTGTGTCAAAGTGCACACAATAGGGGCCACGGGAACCCGATGTTCTTTAAACGGGTTGTGAAGGTTTCAAGAGTGCCATCCGCCACAAACCTCACAACACGTAATTCCTATGAGGAATATTCATCGTACGCGGACGATAGAGATAAGATGTCTCATCGTGATGGGACTACGGGAACCCATGAAAACTTAGCGTTTTCCGGAGATCTCGAAAACGGCTCAGCCGATCGAGCTCATATTCGATTTATATTATGGAAGTAGATTCATTTGAAGATGTACCGAATCACATCGTGATGGGACTACGGGAACCCATAAAAACTTAGCGTTTTCCGGAGATCTCGAAAACGGCTCAGCCGATCGAGCTCATATTCGATTTATATTATGGAAGTAGATTCATTTGAAGATGTACCGAATCACAT